AACGCTTATGTGATGAACACAGGCCTGTCATCTCCTGTCTTCTGAGTGGGTTGGTAACCTCACTTTTTTTGGTAATGTACCTGTATTGGTTATTTTCACTCAAGTAATAAATGTATATCAGTAATGGTGAAATATTTAGTTGGAACACAGTAGCTGGATCACAGAGTGCTAGCCAAGCAACTGTCGTTGAGATAAATGAGTATACTATATAATGTTTTTCAGGTATTACAGACCTCCTTAGTTGAGTCACCTTATAAGTTATGTCCATTCAGGTCTTCAGGTTCATCAAAAGATGGTTCTGTGTGAACTGCTGAACAATGACAAGCCAGGACAAATGATAAGCAGGAGTGCTTCCAAGGGCTTCACCACAGATGAACTATGTTATCTTGATGGCAAGTTTACTTACCAAGGAGGTTCTTATTTCACACAGCAAGAGCTCAAACCACGTCTGCAGCTGTCCATGTGGCGTCATGAGAATTTGTATTACCCAGCTTGCATAAAAACTCTGAAAAATTACCTCAAGAAGAGAAAACAACAAGTTAACAGAAAAGGTATGTATTCCAGTCTTGCAGAATGAGCTTGTAATATAATATTATTGGGAAAAAAATACACAAGGTATTGAATTGACAGCCCTAATATTATTAAGTCATAAAATGGGTTTAACAGAGCAAAGGCTAATATGCTCTGTCTGCTTTGAAAGGTGTAAAATGAACTGATTTACTGCATTTATCTCCTGCTTTCTGCCCCTTTCCTGTATAGTAAAACCCAGACTTAAATTAATCCAGAAAGCAAACTCAGATGGAGGGTTCCTAATAGTGACGGGACGTACCAGATGAGGAAGATTTAGTTTTTTGAAGAGATTTTATTCTCTTTTCTTCTACTAGTTTTGTATTAAATTACATGAGTACACAATTCATATACTATAATTCACTGGGTAAGACCTAAACAGTATGTTTCACATGCCACTCACTACAATTATTATTCATTTAATCGTTGGGGTTTTTATACCGTAATGCCTGTGTATATTATCATTCAATGTCATACATTTTATTATTGTAATATTGTATTATTATTGTAATATAAAAAACGAAGAAAAAAAAAAGTTTGCAGCACTGGTGTAGATGGGTGTCAAAATCTCACTACAGGCTGGTACAGACAGTGGATGGACCAAACAAACCACAACCCGTGAGTTTGCCCATGCATTATAGCACTCAGTATTTTGGTCTTCTAGTCAAGCAATCCAATGTTGTACTGCAGGAAAAAAAATCTGGCTGTCCACATTATTACATAAATCTAATTCAGATCTCTTTTTCCAGAATTCACCCCAACTTAAGGTCTACAGTGTACTGTAGTGCTATTGCCTCAGGTGGCGCTGACGAGTGGGACTTTGGCTGGCAGATGTTTAAGACCGCCATCATCGGAATAGAAGCTGATAAACTCATGTCAGCCTTGGCTTGTGCAAAAGATACCACACTTTTAGAAAGGTTTAAAATATATTGTTCTTTGGGAACATATAGAAACTTTTCAAAGGAATAAATTTTTTTTTGTATTGTCATAAATATAGGTACCTTGGATACACGCTTGACGCATCAATGATCCGTAAACAGGACGCTACCTCTGTCATTGTGTATATTGCCAGCAACCCAGACGGTCAGACATTGGCTTGGGATTTTGTCAGGAAGAACTGGGTGTATATGTTCACAGAGTGAGCTTTATGAACAACACAAATGCTCATATACAAGATCACTGCAAAATGAATTTGTGTCCTTGGTATGGTGTGGAATGAGTATGTTGAAAAGAGTATGCCAAAAGTCCCCGGATGATCTACTATTTCAGGTCGATTTTTTAAGTGTGGATCCGTGCACACTCTCCCTGCGTTCCATTCGGAATTCCATCCCTATGCCCTATTACCCTCCGGAGTGAGAACTTCGAAGGGTTGAAGGGTGTAGGGGACCAAACAACTGTTTCTTGAAGTGCCCTTCTACGTCATCATCACTTTTATTCACAATCTCCTCATCACAGGCAGGCACAGCACTCAATTCAGCATGTGTTCTGTTTGTGTGTGCTGTTTGCGTCACTCAGAGCACGTGCCTATATCGTGCACTATATCGAACATTTTTAATATCGTTATCGAAGAAGGTGTACCGTCGATAAATATCGATACCGTTTTATCGCCCAGGCCTACCCTCTACTACACACTCAAAAGTGTGTACTTTTTCTTCACCAAAAGAGTACATACTTTAAGGGCGTAGTATAAGTAGGCACATTGAGACGCAGCTCTCACAGCTCTCCCCCGGCCTCCCCCTCCCCTTCTCTATCATTAGGGGTTGTAATTACATCAGCAGATTCGGCACATTCGCTATACAAAAGCGGCGCTTTCCAACTTCATTAACATGTTATGGTATTACAGCTGTGAAATTACAAACAAAAAATACACATTCTGAGACATGAATTGTGAATTTTTTCACATTAAATCGTCCTCCTCCCATTTTCATCTCAAAATTTTGGGGAAGCTGTGCCTCCCCTGCATCCCCCGACGAGCGAGGTGGTCCTCACTGCAGAACACAAGATCCAGGGGGTGAGGTTGGATCCAGAACCAACTCCTCCCACCTTACATATACCTAAACCTACCCATCGCCACCCCCTGATCCCTAAACCCACCCATCTCCACCCCCTAGATATGGATCCAACCCCGCCCCCTGGATCTTTGTTCTGCAGTGAGGGGCTACTGCGGCTGAATAAAGCAGACTTTTGACTTTGACCATAAGTGATTATGTGGTTGCTCATATTAAAAAAAGATCAAAATTTTTAAGATCTGTCAACCACAAAGAAAGTAAGTTCAGTTGGTTAAATTATGACTGGCTTTGAGTGAGATATTGCATGAATAGAATATAAAATCATGTTAATTTTAAGTAAAATAATAAAAATAGTTAAGTAAAAGTTCCTTTTTGTAACAAATACGTTCAGATATCAAATAAAAAAGGGGGCATCTGAGGTCAGATGTGTTGATAAATCTCTTTCTTTATTTTTATTTCTTTATTTTCTAACAGATCATGCAGTTTTTTCAGGTGATGACTCATTGTGAACAGGGTGACAATGAGAAACATTGACAAATGATCACCAAGACTGCTTTTAGAAGTTCTGCTGTTGATGAACTCCGATTGTTTTAATGGACAATTCACATATCAGAGTTCTTCTAATTACTTAGAATCTTGAGATGTTACCCAGCCTGTATACAAATAATGAAGAATTACCTTAAAAATAGAGGGACTCAAGTGAACACGAAAGATCCTCATGTGTTTCTGGTATTTTCTTGAATTTAAATAAATAAATAAATAGCCAGGTTGCAATGGATCATACAGCATGATACTACAATTATATGCAACAATCATACACATTTTTATTCAGATTGGTATATTCCCTTATTCATTTTTCTCTCCCTTCCTTCCCAAGTGAAAAGCAAACTCTCATCCAGAAAGCAAACTCAGATTCTGGAGGGTCTCGTTTGAGTCTCGTTTGAGTTTGAGTTGTCCAATCTAAATGTAATGCTTAGATACATACAGATATTGTAATTTATGACACAATATTTAATTGCCCTTAATCATTTTTACTTTTTTCTGCTATAGCTTCAGCTAAAAGTGATTATTCTGCTACTTCTAGTGAGTTCTAGTGCTACTTCTTTGCTTTTACACTTGATAGGGAAAATGAAGTATTAGTTAGTTAATAGAATATTAAAATAAAACTAAATTATTCATTTATTTTTCAGCATCTGAAGAGAGTATGGAACAAGCATCCTGATGATCCTGATGAAGTTGTTGCTTCGGATATCAGCACAGTATTTTAAGGACTGGTTTACATTAAGTAATTTACATTTTTGGTGTGTTAAATTAGTAGAAACTAGAGCATAGTTTTTGTTCTAAAATGATACAAAGAGTTCAATTGCACTTTTTAAAAAAATTTCAATTCAGGTTTATTGGCATGACATTGTTGTACAATATTGCCAAACACTATGATGTTATTTTACAGATTGTTTTTCATAATAATTCTTCATTTAAGAAGTTCTATTCCCTATAAGTGAATACAACCCAGGATCTGATATCCTCCAATTTATAGATGATATATTTTACAGTCACTTATTTTATCCTTATCAGTAATGTAGTTTACTCAATACTTTTAAGTTTTATGCCTGTTCGATTGTGTCATTTGCAACACATTGTGAGATGTGTAATTCATTCACTCTTACAGGATGTTGTAAGAACATAGTATTGTACCTTTGTTATGCTCTGAAAGTGCAAACCCATTGAGCACAGTACAATCAAACTTAAATGGCCCACTTTACCTGAATTCACCCTACATGTCTGTGCGTGTCTATACGACTCTCCTTTCTTCCAATACCAAATCAGCTGAGGAAAACGAAACAAGCAGGGTGCGAACTACGGGGGAGCTAGGGGGAGCTCGGCTCCCCTTAATAAGACATGGACTCCCCTGAAAACGGGATTTGTGAAATTTTGGGGGGTCTCAAAAAATATTGACAATGTGTTATTTTGACGTGCAATTTCAGTTTTGTGTAATGTGATCATCGTGGATTATTATGTGTGAAAAGGTACCTGGCACGCACTTGTCTGAGGAGTGGATTAATGGGGAAGTAAGCAGCACTGCTCAGAACAAGTTGCGAAAAAAGATATATAAACATAGGGACAGCATTGCACACAAGAGGGCCATTGAAGTAGCATTGACTAAGCAAAAGGCGATTCTGCCAAATAAAGTAATTGAGGTGAATTCCAAATTAATGGAGGAGACCGCAACATCATTCAGGTCCGCCTATATGGTGGCTAAGGAAAGACTGTCTTACAGAAAGCTCACCCCTTTAATGAAGCTTCAGGAGCTTAATGACGCAAAGGAGGGAACTGTCTTTGTAAGGCAAGCGCACGAACACCCCACCCCCTTGTTATAAAAATAAAAAAACAAGTGGGCTCCCCCAAAGTCCACGGCATAGTTCGAACACTGGAAACAAGACAGTGTGAGAGACACCGCCCTAGCCTGTAATATGTTGATAGACACCCGTTTAAAAATGTGCAGGTACATTTTTGCAACACATTTTAAGACTAAAAGCATACAGTGCAAATGGACAGGATCTCCTGTCCTCGTCTTTTTACTTGTAACGTTACTTTCACTTCCATCTGCGTCATATGGTAAATAGTTTATGTTTTTACATGTTCGAATTTTAAAACCTAATCCTGTTCAATGAATTAAATTCAAGATTAATGAAGATAGTCACATATCATGTCCTCTCTGACCTCAATAGCGCGTTACTCATATAACTTTAATGCTAAATGAAAGTGCTAACTCTATGCTATTTCCTATTTCATGCTAACCCTAACCCTAAATTGCCAAGATTTCAAGATTTAGGTTTTAAATCAAAAATAAATACTGGATACAGTTTAAAGTTTTATTGTAACCTAGGTGTAGGCTACTGTCTCGTATGGTAGAAATAGGTATAAAGTATTTGTTCATAATAAAAAGAAAAAATCTATTTGTGTTTCAGGTTCTCACTCTTTGTCATTGCTTTCAACTTATATTCAAGGAGAAACACAATTTCCTAAATTTAGTTGCACAACAACTCTGGATGACATCACAGTTGCATACTATAATTCAGAGACTTATTTTCCAAAAGGGAATACGACGAATGAGGATGATGTGATTGATTCAGATTACATAAAGGGTATAAGTGACTACATGTATAACTCATTTTTGAGACGATCTGCACTGTTGAGAGACTACAGCCAAAATGAGAGTAAGTATGGGTTTCTCAATTATTTTTAATCTATTATTCTATTTAAAAATGCATAAAATGCAGTTTATACATATTCAGTTACTTAAATACATCTTTATGATGATCATGTCATTAAAGTCTGATTTTAAATTAATTTTGTTTTTTTTTAGGTCAAATTTTGATATCAGAATTAAAAGAAAACCTTTTATAGAAATTTCAGCTTAATATTATTTCTTTATTAAAAATAACAAAAGTATTATTGTGCTTATATTTGAAAAGCATTTGTCTGCAAAATCAGAAAAACACATAAAACATGAAATTATATCATAGAGATGCCCCCTGCAGACCCTCATGACTGTGTCAAGGTCAATAAGTCCCTTAAAACAATAAATGATAATTAAATATCAGTTGATTAAATTGTAAAGTTTAGCTTGTAAAATATCATTTGGTGTAACTTTCCCCAAAATGTGTGATATTCATCAATTAATATATATATATATATTTCAATGTTTTTGAAAATAATAATTCACAGATAGGCTATAAAGCTATAAGAAAATTATTTATTTTTATTACAAAGACATTTTTTATTAAATCGAAAATTTACTTGAAAATGGTTTGCAAAACAAAGTTGTTGTTTTGTTTTTTTTTATGAAGGGGGCCAATCCATGAAAATCTCTGCCTTATTTTCCTCACAGGTCTTGATGTTTATCAGACACTGGTTGTCTGTGAGCTGCTGGAACTTGACAAGCCTGGAAAGATGATTATCAAAGATGCTGCTAGTGGCTACACCACAGATGAGCTGTGTTACTTTAACAACCACTTTACTTATACTGTGACTGTAAATATTACACAAGAAGTGCTCAAACCTCAATTAGAAGAATTTAAGCAGGAATTTGCAAAGTTCTTTTACCCAGTTTGCATAACAACTCTCAGGAATTACCTCAAAAAGAGAGGAGGTCAAGTGAATAGAAGGAGTAAGTCCTCAAGGACACGTGTACATTTGTATTATGAATCTGACATTCCAGATGTTTAAAAACAATCTTCAGGCTCATAAATAAACTTAAATTTGACACATTGTTATATAACTCCTTGTTTGTTGTCTCTGGACCTTTATGTTGTGGTGTTTCCTGTGCTTTTCGTAGTCAGTTTGTAGTTTTGTTTTTTTTTTAGTTTGTTTTTCGATTAATCAGCCCATCCTTGTTTTCTCTTGTACTCTTCAGTTGTTCTTGTAACTTTTGTTCTGGTTTTGTTCTGTGGTCCTGTTTCTACCCATGCTCTTGGTTTTGGTTTGTTTATGTTTCATGTTTTTTGTCCTTCTTGGTTCCCTGTTCCCCACCCTTTTATTTTACCTTTTTATTTGAATGAAAACCTAGTACTATCGAGTCACTACCCTCTGTTTACCTGTCTGTTTTGTGGCTGCCCTGGTGTCACACCCATGCATTTATAGATGTGAAAAGTTCTTTGAAATTACCTTTTTTTTGTTACAGTAACACCCCATATCAAGTTCACCCAGAAAGCAAACTCAGATTCTGGAGGGTCTCGTGTGAGTTGTTTGGCTACAGGATTTTATCCCCGTCACATCAACCTGACCCTGTTCAGAGATGGGCAGCCTGTAGCTGATCATGAGATCACTGGAGGAGATCTGCTGCCCAATGCTGACGGGACGTACCAGATGAAGAAGAGTCTGGAGATCAGTGCTGCAGACAAACACAAATACACCTGCTCTGTCACACACCTCAGTCTGGACAACAAACTGGACATCACTTTGGGTAATGAGCTCTTACAGAAAACACAATCTAACAGTAAAAACATTTAAAGCCACTCTCTCAGTCTGTGGTTGATGTTCAGAGTTTGATCACAGGGAACCATTTAAATCAGTGATTAATTCAGTTCTGACAGTTTTGGCTCTGATGTTGGTAATTGGTAATAATTTGCAGCTGCGGTAATTAGATGTGAAGACATTAAAAATGTCATTCATTATGTGAACTTTATTTTAGAGTTCGATTTCAGTGAACCATTTAAAACAGCGATTCTCCCAGTGCTGATAGTTTTGGCTCTGGTGTTGGTGTTTGGGACTGGAGTCATCATATATAAATGGAGGAAGAGACGAGCAGGTAGGACAAAAACTGAAATTAATGATAACTACTAGTTTTGTTTAGAAAATACTTGATTTTTATGAATAACATTCTTTTTGATTTTGTAGATTCACCCAGAAGTGGTTATTCTGCTGCTTCTAGTAAGTACATTATTTAAACCTATTTTTTTAATGAATTAAAAAAAGTTAAAAAGCTAAGTTGTTGAATTAAATGATTTTATTATCTTTTTGCATATTCCGATCATTCATTAAACATTTTTTTTCAGCATCTAAAGAACATGTCGAAACAACAACATAATCAAATTAAATATCATGCCTTGATGCTACATGGATCAACATCTTCAAACAATGAAAAAATGAGTTTCGACAGTTGCTTGGCTTTATTATGAAATAACAACATGAACAATATTGTTAGTTTATGTATGCCGTTTTAATAATTGTCCTTAAAACGCATTGTGATCTGCACACATCATGTTCGGTTAACACAATCTGCATGTTGGCATCTTTGTGACAGATGAATTTGTGTCAAAATACCATAGAGTTTGATTGGTCGCACTGCCTTTGACCTCGCATTATTGAAAGCTCACATAATTTGAACTCTTAACCTTATCAGTGATTTACTGATGAACTGTGAGCCATTTAACTCTTAGACGTTTTGCTATTGAATAGCAAATTATTAGTTGTATATTATAAAGAACAGGAATAAAAAGAAAAGCTGAAGTTAAAATATTTTTTTACAATGATATCTTTCAAGACATTTTAAAATTTTAGTTATTTTGGCTACTTTAGAGCATTAAAGATGAGTGTTTCAACTTTACTATTGTACTGTTTCAACTGTACCTGACATGGGTACAATTGGAACAAAAGTAGCATACTTGTCATTAAAAACTGTGGAAAATACTATGTATTGTATTGGTATTATTGATCATCATTTATTTAGCAGGCAATTAAAAGAAATTTCACATGAAAAATTTACAAGTTTTTAGTTCGTGTGGTTCTACTGACTAAAAACGTCCAGCTTTATTTGGTAGTTACAATAAAATTCACATAATGAGCTGTAACTTGTCTTTAAGATTAAACATTAAATTGCAAGCATCTGAAGAAAATGTGGAAACATTGTGAATGTCATGTCACAAAATAACATGATTGGAGAAATAGGCTATCTTTAAACAACAAACAAAGTTATTCTGACAAACTGCCTAAAGGGTTTTCTTTTTCCAAGAGAAACTACACTTTTTATTTATTTTTATTTTTTTTCCTACTTTTGCTCAGGTCCTCCAAAAGGTAGAATTTCAAAAGAATTCTATAAAATCAATTTTTGCAAACTTAAATTTGTTAGGTCTTAGAATTTGCTTTTAGACATATCTTCTCAACCAAAGTCTCTCCTTCTACAAGTTTTAAGTGTAATTTGCATGCTGAGTTGTTGATCAATAGCTAAATAGAACAACAATGTGCTTTCAGCTGCTAAATTATCATTGTAAGTCTGAAAAGCACATATATACAAACCGAAATGTAGATCAAAAAATGATAAGTGTAGATTTTTATAAGTTAAGAGTCTTTAACTGTCTTTTCAGTGTTGACTGTTTAAAGCATGTGCTGTGTTTTTGTTTTTTTCCTTTGAAATTTGTCAACCAAAACTTTGACTAATTAAATACATGTTATGAAATGTTATGATTATGTTTTTAAATATGAAACTAAAACCTCCAGTAAGTGGTGACATCTTAATGAATGACTCGCGGAATCATTTAATTCGTTCAAAAGGACTGATTCATTCAGGAATGAAGCGATTTTATCATTCGCTCAGCCGATTCCTTCAAAACGTGGATTCATTCAGGGACCAAACAGCACCGTGTTGCTCACAGACACGCAACTCTTCTGCTGTGGATTTATTACGAAGTTTATTCACATTAAATGCATTAAGTGATATTTACACTAATAGATACGAGTTACATTAATTACAAATAACCATAGATTCTATTTAGCCTACACTATGCAAAAATAGTAGTATTTTCTTTGCATTAAGTGTAATAGTAATTAGATGCTATTTATGCTTAGTGCAAATAGTTGCAGATATATTTGCACCTCAGTACTAGTACATTATAAAACGGTATGCAATAATAACATATTGAGTGTAAATTATCATGTTTATTAAAATTATTAAATGGATGCCGCCTTATTTCCAATTTTTGAATATTTCTTTCATTTTTATTGAAAACAAATGCCTTTCAGATCTGATATGATGGAGAAAAGGGACAAAAACGGGAAAAGTACGAGCTCGGCAAAAGGCGCATTCGAACTTTCGTCGATCGCATCAGATCTATTACTACATCTTACCTACACCATGCTGTTATTTGACAGGCGTCTTTTGTAATCATGTCTATCCCAACTAGATATTGGTGGGTGAAGTTACTGTAAATAGCCTCTGCCAACAATGGCAGATTTTTATTAGTAAATTTAATGTGTCTGGCTTCCGGTGTCGTCTGCTTTCAGTTATTTTTAGCTGTACAAAACGGCTCGTTTTGCTGCGTGATATTGCAAACTGTTGTATCTTGCCATATTATTTTAATTTATTATCTTAATTATTAACACACTTGTAGTGCAAACGGTTTTACCGTTTACTATACTTTGCTATTCTTCTCATTATTTCCCTTCAGATAGGCTAGTTGCCTCATTGGCAAAAAAATTCCAAACATTGTACATTAATATTAAATGAAATTAATGACATTAAAATTCAAAGTAATCACTTTGGTAATCTAAAATACATAAATGTAACTATAACGAAGTTACTCATATTTTGTATTGTGATGAACGCTGGGGATTTCTTTTTTTGTTTGGCTTTAGCCCCGCCTACATGAACCTTTTTGCAGCAAAGCACTCTTTCCATTGACTGAATGTATGGATTATTGAACTCACCTGGAGGACATTTAAGGGAGAACAGGTGAGAGGAGAGTATGGGATGATATTCGACTCAAAATGATTAATAGATGCACGCACAATTTTTGAGACTTTCGTTCCGCCCTTTTAGCCTTGCCCAATCCACACACACACAGCTCGCAGTCCACGCGCAGCTGAGCTAAAGAAAATCGGCAACCACTAGGTGGCCCTAGCCCCACTCACATGTGCGCATTCCATTGTGTTACATTGTGTTTTTTTTGTTTCTTTTTGGTTGGGCTATTCTCCTCTACCGTAGAAATATAATAAAGATGTTTTATTGAACTTGTTCTAACTTAACTTTTCTTAAGACAGAATAGCTTATATTAATTTTGCCAAACAAGAACTTTGTGAAGGTACCTTTTTTTTTTCTTTTCTGTAATTCATCGGGACGTTGTCAGTTATTCCTTCCTTGTAGGCTAATATTATTATTATTATTATTATGCAAAGATGAAGTTGACGATGCTAATTAGCCATCTCCAGTACGAGAGAAATGCACCTTTCATATAGGCTTACCTACAGCATTGCAAACGCTGCAGCATGTTCATTATCAGAATAAAATACAGTCAACCAAACATATAGATACACTATAGAATCTAGATACACTGGTTAATTAAAACAGCCCGTAGTACAATCCGTGCCGTTCAGCCTGAGCTCGGGCCAAGCACATATTTGCTCATGTGAAGAGGATGATTTTTCATGTGAAGAAGACCATGTTTTTTTTTTGTTTTTTTTGGGAAAGCAGGTTAAGTACAAAGCCTGGTTTACATAGGCCTAATAAACAATAGTCTGTTGCATTCAAATTCAAATAGCCAACATTGTGAATATGGAAACATTTGGATTCGTGCCAAATGAGAGAGTAAGAAAGAGGATTATAGGGCCAAACAATAATAATAAAAAAAAAACACCTCTCCAGAATAAAGTCATTAGCCTATAATGTGAGATTAAACTAATTAAATATCCAGAAAAATTTAGAAATAAAATATTGAGAATAAAAATAATTAAATTTCGAGAATAAAGTCGTTCATCAGCATCGTCAACTTCATCTTTGCAGCCGACACTGACTCAGAAAACAGATTAGTAACAAGTAGCCTAAATAAAATATGTTCTAGCTATTTATGCGATCCGCTTGAACGCGGAATAGGCTATAGCCTATAAAACGATCGTTTAGTATAGTTTAGTTTGTTAATTTAATAGTTTAATTAAATAGAAACGTGCGATTACTAATGGCTTAAATGAGCGACTATAATAGCCCTTTTAATAATAATAATAATAATAATAATAATAATAATAATAATACAAGGAAGAAATAACTGACAATGTGCCGTTGAATTACAGAAAAAAAATAACCAAGGTACGTCACAAAGTTCTTGTTTGGCAAAATTAATATAAGCTATTCTGTGTCTTAAGACAAGTTAAATTAGAACAAGTTCAATAAAACATCTTTATTATATTTCTACGGTAGAGGAGAATAGCCAAACCAAAAAGAAACAAAGAAAACACAATATGGCATTCATAAAACGTACTCAATGGAATGCGCACATGTGACTGGGGCTAGTGCCAGTCACATGTTGCTGATTTTCTTTAGCTCAGCTGCGTGTGGATCGCGAGCTGTGTGTGTGTAGCTCAGTTGCGTGTGGATCGCGAGCTGTGTGTGTGTAGCTCAGCTGCGCGTGGACTGCGAGCTGTGTGTGTGTGGATTGGGCAAGGCTAAAAGGGCGGAACGAAAGTCTCAAAATTCAAATGAATCAAATAGAATCGACTCAGAAGAGACGCGAATTAATGCACGCGTGTCACCTGATCCACAGATGCACATTTTAATCGCTACATGCACAAATCATGATATTTTAATACAAACTATAACATTTGTATTCACAATGTCTCTATTTGAACAAAATGCTGCACATTAATGTAATTCTTAACTCTGCAGACACCGGTTGAAAAGCATTTGTTTCAGTGTAGTGACGCACATTTGCAAATTTTTCAAATCCTGTACACATTAATGAATTGCACTGGGCCTTGTTCTTTGGTAGTTGTGTGTGTGTGGGGGGGACGTGAAATGCTGTAAACGGCGAAAATAAAGTCTCAAAATCCAAATGAACCGAACAAGATCGACTGAACTAGACGTCAATTAATGCACGCGTGTCACCTGATCCACATATGCACGGATTCCTTTTTGCATGAGCAATTTATGATATATTAATGCAGAACAGAACATTTTTATTCACAAACATGTCTGTATTTGTACAAATCACTGCACAATCATTTAATCCCGAATTCCACAGACTCAAATTGAAAGGCATTTGTTTGTGGTTAGTAAGATACATGTATAAAATGTATGCAGTACATGGATAATTGTGCGTGCATCTATTAATCATTTTGAGTCTAATATCATCCCACAGGAGAGCGGCTCGGCAGAGTGAACGTGACTGGCTTTTCGCGCTCAGGGGAAGATGGGGACGCTTTGTGTTGCTCGAGACTATTAGGGTTTGTCCGGCAACGAAGGTAGCTAGATATATTGAATTTGTGTAGTTAGATAATGGTGGGGACGGTTTAGGAGCGCTGGTCATATGTTCCAGGAGCGTTTCAAAGAGACTTTATTGCGCAGAGGACTCATCAGTAGGCTACTACAGACATTGCGATTCCCAAGGAGAAATGTGCTGTACACAAAGGACTAATTAATACCAGTGACGTTGTGATTAATTGCCGCAACTGCGGGGACGGGAATAAAGCGAAGAAGAGCGAGTGCTTTCTTGGAAGATATC